GCATTCATGACCAACCAGGACAACCCAGCTAGGACTCCAGCTCACTGCTGCTACAGAAGACTAGCAAGGAGCCAGCTGCAATCTAGGGCCGGGATAAAAAAGGGCAGAGGTCTCAGCCCCTGGTCTCACCAGGACCTGACAGCTCCCTGTGGGGGCGGCTCCAGAGCCCCACAGCTTGGTCTGCTGCAGGACGCTTGCCATCCAGGAGTGTTCAGGCTGCTGAGGTGCCTGACAGCTGTCCTAAGGCAAGTCTGGGTCCCAGAGGTGCATGTCTGTACTCAGAAGCTTACAGGGAAAGAAGTGTCCATGTGTCAAGACCCTGGAGAACAGCAGGAGACTGGGGGGCAGCTCCCAGGCTGGCTGCTCCCCCTGCATGTTCAGGGAATCCCTTCTAGCAAGGTCTCAGGCAGCCCGTAGGCCATCCAGGACCCTGGCCAGTCCATCCGTAGGTCCATCCAGGACCCCAGTCCCAGATCCTGTAGAAGAAACCCGAGTGTCCTGGGACCACAGCCTGGAACCACAGCCTCCTCACCTCTGGGACCCTGCCAGTCCCAGAAGCCTGGACGTGAGCTGTCTTTCCAGGAGCTCCTTAAGCACCCAGAGGCCCACTGGCCACAGGGCCCTGGAAGTGCCAGAGAAGGGAGCCGAGGCTGCACTCCCAGTCCCCAGGGTTTCTGGCCCTTCTCCAGAGGGCCTCAGTCCCCTTAGGCAACTTCCTGGAAGGTGACTGGCTGCTGCAAGTGGGAGTCATTGCCTGGGCCTAAGCCAGGTGGCCACTGCCTACAGATGGTCCTTGATGAAGAAGATGCCTTTGGGCACCGGTCCAGCCGTGGACCAGTGAGCAGCATGCCTTGCATGGTGAGTGGACAGCTGCCCACAGGGCCTCGCACAAGAGGCCAGGTGTCATCACAGTGGCTGACATAGTGGCTGGTGAAGCCACAGTCCCTTCCCTCCAGACTCGCTCTGCACCTCAGGACTGTCCCTTGCAGGGGGCTCCACAGGATCCCAGGGCTGGCCGAAGACCCCCACGCCTCAGACACCTATGTCCACATCAGGAGGGGCCCTTGGGCTCATCCTCAGGGGCAGTCCTCACCTCCTGCTGGCTCTTCTGCCCAGCTGCCCTTCCCACCTGCTGTCAGCCCAGATGACAGCATGGCCTCAGGAATCACCCTTTACCTGACCCTGAGCCCAGGAAGCCACTGTGTACCCCATCACCATACTGACCCCCCACTAGCCACACAGGTCCCAAATGAGCTCCTCAAAGTCCTCCCATGGCCCTTGCCTACAAGACAGCCCTGCCCTTCTGGAACCTGGCCCAGGACACAGCTGGCCAGTGAGTCCAGCCAGGGCCTGGCTGGGTACCCCTCATCTCCCCAAAAGCTAAGGGTGCCCAGTGGGTGCCAGGTGGGCCAGGGGAAGCCCTGGGAGCTTCCAGCAGCACGCTCCAGCCCTGGGAGCAGGCTGCGTGTTGGGGTCTGGGGGCTTCCGCCCCTGCTGAGGCGTCATCAGCACAGGGAAGGAGAGGGCTCCTAAGGCTGAAGCAGCACCTGAGTGGACAGGCCCCTCACCTCCTCATGGCCCTGGGCCCTGTGGGGCGGGGGAGAGGGAGGCCAGGCCTCCCTGGGGCCCATGAGGAGCCAGTCCCAGCCAGGGCCTCTCCTGGGGCATCAGTCCGTGGGGACACAGGAGTTGGGTTTCCCTCTCCCACACCTGGAAGGGACTGAGGCCTGGGGACCAGGGCCCTGACCCTCTGGGGAGGCGTCTACAGAGGGACCCAAATGGGGAGTTCTCAGGCCAACCCAGGGGGGCTGTCAGGACAAGGAGGGATGCCCACTGTCAAGGGGTCCTTCCGTGCTTCAGCAACTGGTCAGGATGGGCAGGGACCCAGGCTGGGGACCCTACCCCGGGAGCCGCGGGGGTCTGTGCTGGGCAGACGGGCCAGGCCTGGGAGAGCCAGGGAAGCCCAGCCCCGTGAGCTGCTGCTTCAGGGAGTCATGTCACCACTGAGAGGGGTCCACCCATGAGGGGTTGCTGTAGGAGACCCTAAAGGCTGAGCTCTGGGGCTGCACTCAGGCCACTGGCCCCAGCCTGGACAGGCAGTCCTCCAATGCCTGCTATCCCTGTGACCCTCAGGCCACCCTGAGATTCTAGGCCACTGGCTTGCTGAAGAGCCAGGGTGAGGCCGCAGCCAGGCATGTGGCCCTGGAGGTGCAGATGAGTCAGCCTGCAGGACGACAGGACCCCAGGGGTCATTCAGGACAGACCCTAGCCAGCCTGAGGGCAGCAGTCACACCAACCCCATGGCCTACCACTCCAGCCCTGATGAGCCAGTCATGGAAGGAGGGCCAGGCCAGATGAGGTGGGCTGGGAAGGCCACTGGGGATTGTCCCAAATACTGACCCCACTTCACACGCCACATAGGAAAAAGGCCCATATGAGAGTGCTTCCTTGGCCAGGGCTCCTGTCCCCGGCCTGTACACAACTGGACCCCAGGGATGAACGTGGCAGGACCCACCAGCCACCCAATAGGAGGGGCCTGGGTCATGAACAGGTTATGGGCACTGACCCCTCCCAGAGACCCTCCAGCCCAATGTCCATCCCTACACCTTAAAGGCCTCCTGAAGCCACCCCTGGACAGCCTGCAAAGCTTCTGCAGGACACAGCAGTGTGGGACTGGACCCGGTGCTCAGCAGCACAGCTAGGAAGAACAAAGGGGACTATGACCTGCCCCCCTGGGGGGCTCCTGCCCCAGGTTCCCTGCCAGATGTGGAGTGCCAGGTCCATGCCCTGACCCTGGCCCACTCCTCCTCTGCTCCAGGAAGTCTGCAGAAATCAGGTGGACTGGGCCTTGTGGCAGGGCCTGACCTTGGGGGCAGGAGAGGTGTCATCTCACCCTCAGAGGCCTGATAGGCACAGGAGCCACGGACCCCCAGGGAGCAGCACTGGCCCCACCTGCTCCAAAGCACCCTCTCAGGGGGTCAGCCAGCCCAGCACATGGACACCATCCCAAGCTCAGACAAGATGTGGGCAGGGGGCAGAGACAGCATCCCCAGGCCCAGAGGCAGAGCCAGAGCTCAGACAGACAGACTCTTGGCATGGAGTAGATGGCCCTGTAGGGCAGAGGGACTCAGAGCCCACGGTGCTCACCTTCATGGGGCGAGACCCCATGTTAGGAGGCAGGTGGTCAGGGCAATCCTGAAGAGTTCTGAATCAGGGCAGAAGCCCAGCCAATAGTTCTGTGGTGAAGGTGGGAAGCAGGGAGCCCTGCACCAACCCGAATCCCGCGGCAAGCCCAGAGCAGCGTGAGCCACCCAACAGTCCCAGGTCCTGAGTACTCCCACCTCCGTACTCAGATATCCTGTGTCTGACCAGCACAGGTACCCCGGGACCACAGGACTCCAGGACCCAGGTCCCTAGGGCCTGGCCCTGCAAGGGTCAGAGGAGCTCAGTGGAGAAGCAGATCTGGGTCTGGAGTCAGTGTCCCTGACTCCAGGGCAACCAGGCCCCTGCCGTCATCCTTAGCATCAAGATCCTCCCCAGCTACCAGCTCAATGCCAGGAAACAATGGGGGCAATCCCACTGGTCTTCTCTCAGGCTCCCCCAGGGCAGCTGTCCCTGAGCCGAGGACCAGCAGCACAAGGGGCTTTCCACAGAGGCCAAGGCCAGGGGCCTCTCTGGTGGCCTAGGCTCAGTGTCAGGTATCCCCAGGCAGGACAGGCTAGTACTGAGTGTCATCTTTGAGAGCAGCCTCTACCCCCAGCTTCCCTCACAAAGACAGCTACTCCGGATGCTCCCCACAGACCTTAGCTTCAGGCTCACGGTTCCCACACCCTTAGTTCCAACATCTGCCCTGTCCACCCCCAGAACCAACGCATAGGCCCTACAAGCCCACTGGGGCCCTGTAAGCAGGCCCTGCCCAGCATACCGAGGACCCAAAGAAGGGGCAAAAGACGTCCCCCACACGGTGTCCTCATCCAACCTGGGACCATAGTGAAGGAACCAGGCAGCACCTGGCAAGCTGCCCTGAAGCCCCAGACACCACCTTGGGCCTAGGGCCTCACTCCACCTGGACAAGGAGGCCAGACGGAGGGAGGGGAAGGCGAGTGTAGGGTCTCACTGCCTACCACCAGTTGCAGGCTTGCATCCCACTCCCCTGGGTAGAAACCCTCACACACCCAGACCCCAAGACCCCCAAGGGCCCAACCAGCCTCAACCCAGGCGCTGGGAGGGACACCAGGGCCACTCTGGGCCCCCAGCAGCAGCCAGAAGGGGGACACAGAGGACAGAACTCCCATGACCATGACCATGGCTAGGACACAGTCCAAGGAAGGGCAAGTCCTCCTGGAGCAGTGTGTGGCTACCTCGATCTTCAGGTGTCCCTCCAGGCCACAGTGGTGACCATAAGTGGCTAGAGAAGAACTGTCCACTTCAGAGTGAGGGCAAGAGCCCAAGATGGGGCAGCTCCCAAAGGAGGCAGAGGCCTGAGGCTGTGCAGACAGCACTAGGACATGGTTTTCAGAATCTGAGAACCACTGTCCCAAGTCACAGGACTGCAGGATGCTGTGCAGGTAGGGGCCATGGTGCCAGGTCCCTTAATCCACAGCTGTCCTCAGTAGCTATGTTTCAAGGACCCAAAAACTTGGGAAAACTGACTTAGAGTAAGTTCCCAAGTAAGACTAGACTCAGAGTTCCCTACCAAGGCCTCCACTCTGGGCATGGAGATGCCCCACTGACCTCAAGGACCCCCTGTTAGTTAAAGGACCACAGAGTGCCTTTAGTGAAGATCCCCAGGTCCCATGGTGCCCAGAGTTCTCTGCAGGAGGCAGACATAGAGGGCAGGCAGAGGACAGAAACCAAGTCCCAGGCTGCTGGTAGCCTCCACCAGCTTCCCTCACAGACTATCACAGACAACAGCAAGGCTGAACTGGACAGAACCAAGTGCCCACATCCTTACACGAGGTCAAGCACAGCAGCCTCCTGCCCTCAGCCAGACGCCAGAGTCAAGACCACCAAATAATTTACTGTGATCAACCTGTGCCCAGCGGGGCCTGGAGAGACTAGGAGGGGACTTGGACACTGGGGTACCGGTGGCATTCAGGACAGTCCACGACAGTCTGCAAAATGTCCATGGAAGGGTCTTCGGTCACCTCTGTCCACCATCCCTGGGCTGGCTGGGTGCCAGCAGCACTTCCTTCCTTCCTTCCTCCTTCCTCCTTCCGTCTGCACCTCCTCCCCGCATCCGGCACCTCCTCATCCTGAGCTTGGGCCGGGCGGGGCACAAAGGACGCCCTAGGCAGGGGGACTGGCAGGATCGGGGAGCCCGGGGCCATCATAGTGGATGCGGGCAGCACCCCAGGAGCTCGCCTGGCCCTGCCTCACCTGGCCTCAGGACAGCACACACTTGCAGCTCATACAGCCAGGGCCACTCTCATCGGGTGGGTTCAGCTTCCGCAGTTTGTGCTGCCGAATCTCCCGCACCAGCGTGTAGAAGGCATCCTCCACACCCTGGGAATAGAGGGACTAGATCAGGGGCCAGGGGGCCTGGCCAGGAGGAGACCTGAGACCCCGGGGAAAAGAAGGACTTGGTGGGGACCCTGCCTGGGGAGCTGGCCGGGAGGAAACCTGAGACCCTGGGGAAAAGAGGGACTGGGTGGGGGCTATCTGGGGGCCTGGCCAGGAGGAGACCTGAGACCCTGGAAACAGAGGGACTGGGGGAGGGTCTGCCTGGGGACTTGGCTGGAAGGAGAACCAGAGACGCCTGCTTAGGTAAGGGACTTCCTGCCTTGACCTCAAACAGCATCCCAGTCCAAGATTCACTGTCCGCTTCCTCAGTCCTCCAAGCCATACAGAGTTAGGCCCTGTTCACCTAGAAGCCACAAGGCTTCACTTTTAAATAGTCCCCAAAGCTCAGAGTGGCCCAGGACCCTCCTACATCCCCAATCTGGCTCGAGGCTTGAACACCCTAACCCAATTCTTATCTGAGCTATGGCCAATGTCCCCAGTAGCCTCACTCAGGACTCAGGACTAACAGGTGACCATTGGGTGCTCTTGGGACAGAAGGAACTGGGCCCCAGGGTCACCGCTCTGGCCTGGCTCAGGGCAGCTCTCTCCATGGACCTCCACCTCCCCTGAAGCTGTGTCAGCCCAGGACTGCAGGGCATGAGCCCAGACCCTACCCCTCTCCTCCCTCACTGCCCTGCCGTCTGGGGAGACTTACAGCGTGGGGGCCGCTGGGTCACATGGGTCCCGGGGGTCCCAGAGGGTCCCGGAGCTGGAGCCAAAGCCAGAGCGGCTGCCCTGTGTTGAGGGAGAGGGGCAATAAGCACTGTTCCCTGGCTGGGGCCGAGCGGGGCAAGTCCCTGGCTAGCTACAAGGTGGGGAGCTGCTCACCTGCCGGGTCTTGGCTGATGTCTCAATGTAGGGAATGCCATAGCTTCGGGCAAGATCCTGGGCCTGCCGAGACTCCACGGTACGCGCGGCCAGGTCACATTTGTTCCCCACCAGCACCATGGGCACATCATCCGAGTCCTTCACCCGCTTAATCTGCTCCCTGAGAGAGGTTAGGTGTGAGCCAGTGGGTGGGATACAAACGTGGCTGCATCCAGGACATACAGAGGGCAGGAGACCCTGTCTGGATACAGAGAGCCTCCCTGCCCCACCCATGCCATGGGCTCCTGGGCTGGCCACAGGTGGCTTACCTATACTGATGGATGTCCTCAAAGGACTTGGTGTTGTTGATGGCAAACACACAGAGGAAGCCCTCCCCAGTGCGCATGTACTGGTCCCGCATGGCACTGTATTCTTCCTGGCCCGCTGTGTCCAAGATGTCCAGCAGGCATGTCTCCCCATCAATGACCACTTGTTTCCGGTAGGAGTCCTGCGGGAGGATGAGGCTCAGGGACCTGCACTCCTGCTGGCCTGGAGTTTGCAGGGTCAGCCCCTCCTTTGCACCTCTCGTGCCCCTGGTACCAAGGCTGCAGCAGCTGGGAGACAGGCCCATGCCACCTGCAGGGCTGGGGCCTAGAGCCGGCCCAGTCCTGGCTGTGTCCAAACTTAGCTGCTCAGGGCCTGTCCTGGGTTTGCCCATGGCTGCTGCCAGGCCCAGCTGAGTGATCCGGGCTCACCTCTATGGTGGGGTCGTACTCGTCCACAAAGTGGTTCTGGATCAGCTGGATGGTCAGCGCACTTTTCCCCACGCCTCCAGCGCCCACCACCACAAGCTTATACTCCGTCATTGCTCCTCAGGGGCTGCCACTCCAGGCACTGCAGGAGCTCCTGCCCCACCTGCCAAGGAGGACCATGCTCAGCCAGGCCCAGGCTACATGAAGCTGTTGGGAGGGGCATCTGAAGGGATAGGACCCCCAGTACCCAGCAGGCAGGGGCAGCCAGGTCAATGGCCCAACCCCTGGAATGTGGCACCTCCAGCAGGGATGAAAGAGCTCCTGCCTCTCCCCCAACACCCTAAATGGCCGAGTGAGGAAGCCGGGAGCAGGTCCCCAAGGCAGGGCTGACAGCTGAGAGCTTCTCCCAACCACGCACCCAAATTAGAAGTTGCTGGGTAGGCAGAAAGCTAAACTGGAGGCGCCTGAGGGCTGAGGCCACCCCCTAGAACAGGTCCTGCCACGGCTGGCCGCAGCGTGCCCAGGCAGGTCAGTGCCAGCCGACAACGGGCTCCTCCGGCCCGCGGCATGTTGGTGCATCCGACAAGTATTTACTGAGCGCCTACTGCATGCCAGATGCTGCCCAGCGGCCGTGGAAGGGCCCACCAGGATTGGGCGCAATCCTACAACAAGAACCGGGGTCCTTCCGCCAGGAGGGTCCCAAGAAAAAGGGCAGGGGTTCTGAGAAGCCAGCGATTGGGGGAATAGACCCAAGGGAAGCACCAGGACAGTGGGACAGCGGGTCTGGGGCCAAGGCCCGGGGGATGTCCCTTCGGCCCCGGGGCCCGCTCGAGATGGCTACAGGCGCGGCGTTCCCGTGGGCCGGGCGGCGCCTGGCGCAGCGCGCGGCCCCAGGGCGGCCTGGACCGAGCAAGGGCCGCGGACCCTAGGCGCCCGCCGTCCGCACCCACCACCCGCGCCCACCTGAGCCCACGCCGCACTCACCGCTCACTGGCGCAACTGCCCCGGGGGTCGGGGCTGGGGCCGGGGCGGGGCGGGGGCGCGGGCGGGCGCCAGCTGGGCCCGCGCATGGGCTCCGTCCGCGGCGGGTGCGGCTTAGGCTGCGGGCGCCGGGCGCGGGCGGCGGGACTGAGACAGGCCTGCGCTCGCCCCGCCCTCCCCACCGCCCTGGTCCGTCCGTCAGCCTAGCGCGGCTGACCATTGGTTGCTCTCGGTCGCGCCCCGCCCCAGGGCCGCCCCGCCCCGCCCTGCTGCGGTTGGCTGAGCCTCCCGTCTGTCAGGAACCGCGGGCGGCGGGGCTTCCGGGAGAGTCTGGGAGGGCGGTGTCCCAGAGGGGCCCTGGGGCTGAGCTCCTGGAGGCCTAGGCCTGAGTTCCGGGCGCCGAAGAGAACTGGGGCACCGGTGCCACGGGGGACTATTCCGGGGACAGGCGGCAATTGCTGGGAAGACCTTGCCTGGGAGCCTCCACGACACAGGAGTGTTTGCCACCCAGAGGCCTCGGCGCCCGAAGGCGGAAGGATAGTCCGGGAGTCGGGGAGAGGTGGTGCTGAGCCTCAGGAAGGGCCAGCACCGCGGACGCCCCGGGCTTGGATCCGAGGAAGGCTGGGTTTGCCCGGTGCCCCCAGGTGGCCGCGGGTCTGCTATCCTACCCCTCGCTGTGATGCTGAGGCCCTCACCCGCAACTTGAGCAGAGCACCCCGCGCCCCAGGTTCCACCCTGCAGCATCTCAGTGTGGCCCATTTGACGAACTGACCCGCCAGTCCAACTCTAAAGTCACCGTGAGGAGGCGAAATGAGGTCTGCCCCCCAAACGCCAACACAGAGGTCACTTGTCGAGACGCAGAAGACGTCTGTTTGTGGGTGTGTGTGTTTCGTACCGGGGATTGAACTCAGGAGCACTCATTGACCACTGAGCCACATCCCTAGCCCTATTTTGTATTTGATTTAGAGTCAGGATCTCACTGAATTGCTTAGTGCCTCGCCTGGCCCTTGCTGAGGCTGGCTTTGAACTCGAGAGTCTCCTGTCTCTGCCTCCCCGAACCGCTAAGATTGCAGGCGTGCACCACCGCGCCCGGTGCAAAAGACGTTTAATATTATATATATATATATATATGTTTGTTTTAATTTCCACATGTTATCCATAGGAAAACCGAGAGGGTGTGACTCAGAGGCCTACGCCAATCTGGTAGCGGCGCTACCCGCGGCCCCAGGCTGCCGCCGGGGGTCCAAACCCCGCTCCCGTGGAGGCGGCTGACAGTGGGCCGGGCGTCCCTAGCCGGCAGGCTCGCTGACCCTCTCCCGCCGCCGCGGCTCAGCCGCACTTCCGGGATCAGCGCCTGGCGGCCCCAAGGTATCCCACCCTGCAAGAGAGCGTGAATCTCGGCGCAAGCCCGCGTAGGCAACGCGGGGTCCGGGTCGCGTACCCGGCAACGGTTGCTAGGGGGCGGGGCTCAGCCGCCGAACCGGCTCGTGAATATTTGGGTATTAAGATGAGGCCCCGCCCCGTTGCCATGGCTCCCGGGCCCGCAACCCCGCGGCGGAAAGAACACCCGGGAGTCAAGAGAGCGCTGCGGCTGAGGGGCCCCGGGCTGCGCCCCCAGGGCCGGGCACCCTGCCCACCCTTAAGGTGAGAGCTGGTTGCATCCTTGCCATGTTCCTCATGCCAGGGGGAACCAGGGCCAGGTGGCGGAAGATGACCAAGTTACTGCGCCAGTGGGGGATCCAGCCACGGCCCCAGATATCAAATATGGCCTCCTGGCCACTTCGCCCACCACCCCTGGCCCTGCTAGGACAGAGGACCCCTGGTCAGGGACAAGAAGGGCCACAATCCCTGCCCCTAGACAGAAATTTTGCAGGGGCAGGGACCTACTCTGCTCTGGTGGGACCTACTCTACTCTGCCATTAGACCGGCCCCCCCAAGATGGAGGGGTGAAGGGGCCTCAGAGCTGATGAGTCAGGATCTGGCACTTGGCTGGGATGTGAAGACTGAGAAGCCCCAGGTTTCTAACTTGCAGGGCATGGAGTTTCAGAGCGACAGGGCAGGCTGGGCACAGGCAGGACCAGTATGGCAGGTTCAGATCAGTGCATTGATTCTGGGGACAGTGACTGGGCTGGGAGTATAATAGGGGTTTTGGTGCCACAACCTCAACCACCAGGCCTGGGATTCCAAGGCGCTGGTACTCAGCCCTCCAGGCCTAGCTTTGGGCAGGACCCTGGGCTAGCTGCTCTCAGGCATAGAGGCTGCGCCTACAGCTGGCCGGCCCAGGGTGCAGGCCACAACACCTTAGGGGGCGAAGTGGGGCTCCTCCTGCAGGCTGAGGCTTGCTCAGGCTAGAGATAGGTAACAGGGGAGATTCTTTAATTTTTTAATTTCCAAAAAGTGCATAAGCACATGTTATGGCTGCAAAGTCCGTAACACTGTTTTGTGGGTATATGAGTCACTACAGACCAGGCCACTGATGCCCACAGAGCCCAGATGTCTTGTCCCAGAGGCTAACACTGCCTTCCATTACTGCTATCAAAGCCCAGCTGACCACTACTCCCCTGGTTCGGGGTATACTTGCAGACACAAAGGAGAGCATGAATCTTGAAAGTCCATAGAAAGTTAATAGATAAAAATTGTGGTCAGAATGTTTTAAGCCTTGTTTACTGATTCCTTCCACAGAAATTTTAGTGCCCTCTTCTGTGCCCTGTGGACACAGCAGGAGAGTGTCCAGCCTACGTGGGGTCCACATCTTATGGGCGAGGCATGCACTCACCTGAACAAACATTAAATTAGGAGGGCCATGGAAGGGTCATCAGAGAAGTAAATTTAGGAGGGGCAGGCAGGGAGTGCAGGAGTGAGGGGTCAGTCAAGCCTGGATGGCAGGACAAAAAGGTGGCCAGAGAGAAGGACACTGAACATTCTGGGTGGGGTTCTGGCTTCACCCCAGAGATCTGAGTCCAGAGTCTGGGGCCAGGCATAGTCTATCTTCTGTATGTTTAAGGAGAACACCTGGTGAGCCTGGCAAGGGGCCTAAGGGCCAGGCCCAATTGATGGCCCATATCACCTTTGACCCTGCTTATTTCTGGGTGCTCTGTCTTTGGCCCAGTCCAGATGGGCACAGTGGCTTGGACAAGAGCCAACCTAACTGTTTCACAGGTGTTACCTAGGGACACATGCCACTCCCCTGCCCAGGTGTTTGGCCCACAGCAGAAAGCAACTGCCTGTCAGTGGTGGTCAGCCAGCGCAAGGGTAAGGGGGGATACCTGAGACCCTGGTCCTGGGCCAGGCTCAGAGACCATCAGATGAAGAAGGACCCACAGCCCAGGGCCTGGGGCAGCCTGAGGAGCCTGTGAGCAACAGCTTGCTGCTGGCCAGCAGGTCCAGTACTTCTAGGCTCACAGGCCCTCATGGGGCCAACACTCATTTCATGGACCCTGAGAGCACTGGCCTGGGCAAGAGGCCTAAGTCAAAGCTAAGGGAGGGACTGTGAGGCTACCAGGTGGGGTAAAGCTAAGCCAAGCCCCTTAGGCCAGGCCAGGCTGGGACGCTGGTTGAGTAAAGGACCCCGTCACGGTTATGCAGGCGTCTCACTAGGCCTCAGGGAGGAGCAGGAACAGAAGGTTGGAGGCCCTGCCCTCTGCCTCTCCCAGCAGGTTGGATGTGGATGGACCCAGCCTGGGATGGATCCCAGGGGCCTCGGCCACACACAGCCAGTGTCCATGTACGTGAGCTGAGTTGGCAGGGCCTGCACAACCCCTGCCCACAGAGCAGGTCCCTGGGCAGCCATGGGGACAGCTGCAGGGAGCAACTGTTGGAGCACCTGTCCCCTGCTCGACTGGTAAGTGTCAGAGGCCAGGAGCTCTGGCCACAGGGGCCTGCATAAGGTGACATCCTGAGCCCCTTTTCTGCTGATACCCAGCCTGCCGTCAGCCCAGCCGTCATAGCTAGGGGCCCTCTACCTTTCTAATCTTGGGACCTACCAGCCCCCAAAGCACCACCAGCCCTAGATGGCAGATGTTCCTAGGTCCTGATAGGCCAGGATTCTGTAAGTGCTTGTTGAGACCACTGTCCTGGAACCAGAGGAGGCTCCTCACTCCACCAGTGGGTGCTCTGGTGGCAAGACAGGCAGGCCATCAGAGTGGGCTCACAGAAGAGCAAGGTGCAGAGAATCAGGCATAGAAGGGGGCTGTGCCTGCAGGCAGCTGGCTGGACATGAGTGCCCCCACTGGAGTGCCTCCCTTGGGCAGTCTGGAGATGGTCTGTGGCCTGCTTTCCCAGGGCCAGGGCTCTCATGCCCCTTCCCAACCCACCAGACCTTTAGGATGAGGTGGGGGCCATGCGAGTGCACTGACTGTGCCTGGGCATCAGATGGAGTCTTCTCCCAAAACCTTGTGTGAGGACTCACTGTTGCACCTTAAGCCTGAGTTCTAGAAGATCTGCAGAGTCCTCTTGGGAAACACTGTATCTCCCCTGTACAGGACCTCCTATGCATCATTGGCTCCCTTGGGGGAGAGGACTCCCTCCGGTGTAAGCCTCACCCGTCACCCAGGCCATCCTTCAAAATGACCTACATGTCTACCTCGTCCCTGAGGGTCCCACTAACCCCACAGCAGGTGGGGGCCCAGGATCTTGCAGGCAACACTTATATTGCACACACAGGAGATACCTTGTCGAGGAGAGCCAGCACAGAGTGACCAGCAGGGGCCCAGGAGTGGCTCAGAGCATGCCAGCTTGCCCACAGGTTGTAGCCAGCGTAGAGCTAGCTCCTGGTGCCTGTGCTTTGGGTCTGTTCGCAAGGTCTCCTTCACAGCCTCACCCCGAGAGCAGGCCCTTCTCTGGCAGTGGCCTCCAACCAACCCCAGTCACAGCCACTACTCAGGTCACATCTACTTGCACTCTGCCAGCCGGGCCATTGTTGGCCCAGGTTAATGTGGTGATTCAGGGCAGTACTTGTCACCTGCTCCTGTGGGCCTCACAGAGCCCCACTGCCAAAGGTGTGAAGGAAACTGGAAGGAAGTGACGCCCCTGTTGGTATCTGCAGCGGGTCCTGGCCCAGGTGGACAACCTGCAGCTGGTGCGGGTGCTGGAAATGTGTGTGGACACCCGTGAGAGCAGCCTGGGAAACTTCGGTAAGCACTGCCTGTCCAGGGCCTGCCCTGCCCCACTGTGGTCGAGGCCAGCCGCTCTGTGACACGCCTTTCTGGCTGTGAAGGTGATGTTGGCAGACACCTTGGGCGGCTTGCACATTTCCTCGAGATCCGTCCCAGGACCCAGATCTGATCCAGGCAGGGGCAGAGGTTTAGGCTGTGGTCATGTTTCCACACTGCCCTCGGAAGGACTCTGCTCCCATGGCAGCATGGCCAAGGAGTGAAGGTTGAAACGTGCCCCCAGATACCACACCTTGGTGGCAGGTGCTCCCAAAACTTATTTTGAAATAATTCTAGATTTATGCTGGGTGAGGTGGAGCAGGCCTGTAATCTCAGCAGCTCAGAGAGCTGAGGCAGGAGGGTCGCAAGTTCAAAGCCAGCCTCAGCAACTTAGGCTCTCAGCAACTTAGTGAGGCATCGCTTTATTCCAGCTAGGCTGTGTGGGATTGTGGCCCCTCAGTGGTTGGGGAACAGAGTGCTCGGATCACCTGAAGCGGGCCCCACAGAATAGGCCCACTGACAGCTAGAGGAGCCACCCTGCCTGCCCATCCATGATGCAGGGAGACAGCTGGTCAACAGTACCACCCCCACAGTGTGGTGAGACGCTCTGCCCAGAGGCTGGTCCTACCGCATTGGGGAGCAACGGGGCTGAGGGGTGCTGGTGTCTGGGGAGGAGGCGTGAGTGAGGGTGGGCAGGGTGAGGGCCAGGCCCAGCGCTCCTCCTGTGACACACAGGAGTCCACCTGCCCAACCTGGACCAGCTGAAGTTGAACGGCAGCCGCCTGAGCTCCCTTAGGTGAGTGAAGGGCCTGAACCAGGGTCCTGCCAAGGCAGTGGGGTGGGGTGGTGACCTAACGGCTGGGCAGTGGTCTGTAGGGCTGGGCTGGGACAAGGACCAGTGGCCCAGAGCTCAGCCTCGAGCTGCTGGCTGCCCAGGGAGACAGGCTCCTGCTGCTAACTCCCGGTGGCACAAGGAAGGGTGATGGGACATGCTTTTGGGTGTGGGCTCCCTCCAAGGTGGGGGTGTCTCCCTAGGGGCAGGGTCTTTACTGAGGGGTCCCTGTTGAGAAGATGAGTCTGAACCCTGGCCAGCCCAGTCCCCCAGGTGCTGTGCCCCCTGGGGTCCTGTGGCCTCTGGCTCTTGGCCCTAATGCCTCAGCCCAGTGGGTCCAGGCTGGCCTACCTGACTCTTCTCACCCCCCTTTGTGGGAGGTACCTGCTCCGTGGGAATGTGGAGCACACCCAGAGCCTCCAGGCCTGGGTCAGGGCGAGGATCCTGGGTCCTGGGGCTGACTAGCCCCAAGGTGCTCACCAACCCCTGAAAAGAGACCTTGACCTGTGAGGGGCTTCTGGCAGACACCTCAAAGCAACCCAGACTTGAGGGGGCCTGGGACCCTGACCCCTCGCTACAGCCCTGGGTGTCAGCTGCACTGTGAGGGCTGGAGCAGGGCAGGCAGCTGGTGAACCTGGCGGGAGAGCAGGTGGGCACAGCCCGCAGCCACCCTCCCTGAGGGCCAGACCACTCCTGAGGTGGCCCGGCACACACCAGAGCTCTGGAACAGCTGGCTCAAAGGGTGGCATTCAAAAAGAGACAAGCTTTCAGTTTTTTATCTCATTGAACTGGAAAGAACAGACCAAAGAAATGTCTGGCATTGTCTTGGGGTTTGAGCAAAGGAGTTTTTGTGAAAATGCTGCCTGTCTTGTGTGCCCGAGCCCAGCAACTTACGGCAGGGGAGTTTCAGCCAGAATTCTGGAAAGTTCTCCACGTCTCTGAACTGGCTCCACATGCCATATCCAGTTATTTCCAGTTGAGATGATAAAGGTATTTATTATGCAACCTCACTGTTGCTTTTTAAATTTTTTTAAAATTTTATTTATTTATACTGCTCTTTACAAATAGACATCAAGTAGAATTTAACAAAACATGCAAATATCTGAAACAGGGAAAGAATCAGAAGCTGTTGCCCTAGCCATGGCCCATAGAGCCAGCACCAGCACCACTGAACAGGAGAGACACAGGCAACCCTCCCCCAGCACACCTCGGAAACGGAAAACCCATGAAGATGGACACTAGGAAAGACAGCGCCAGTGACTTAAAACTAAGGAATCTGTGGATACCACAGGAACAAACGGGACAATCCAAGGGGTTCCAGATCTTCAATTCTATGACAGTGCATTCTGTTCTTTGATAACTGTAGTGAAAAGTATAGTGACCAGGTCCAGGCACAGTGGCCATGCTTATCATCCCAGCCACTCGGGAGTCAGAGCAGGAGGGTCACAAGTTCAGGGCCCTCCTGGGCCACTCAGGAAGACCCTGTCCCAAAATAAAAGGTCTGGAGTGCAGCTCAGTGGTAGAGCAGCCCTGAATTCAATTGTCAGTCCTGAAAAAGAGAAAGAAAAGAGGGAAGGGGAAGAAAAAAACATAGTGACCCTTTATCAGATCTTGAAACTTGGCCAAATGGTGCTTACCAACTTCTACAGGTTGAAAATGAACAGGAATTTCTCAAACAAAATTGATTAAATAGGACCACCCTCCTGGGCGTGGTGGAGATGAAATATAAGCGTATAACTTAGCTATTGTAGCTCAGCCAACTGCAGCTATTGTAAACACCCCATGTCAGTATTATAAGGGCTGGAAAACAGGCTGGTTTTTTTTGTTTTGTTTTTCCAGAGCTAGGGACAAAACCCAGGGCCCATGCAGGCTAGGCTACCATTGAGCCATACCCCAGCACTTTTCATTTTCTATTTTGGGACATGGACTCACTAAGTTGCCCAGGCTTGGCCTCAATCCTGAATCCTCCTGCCTCCTCAGTCTTCTGAGTTGCTGCGATGACAGGCGTGGACACTGCGCCTAGCAGTGGGAGATGATTGTAGTGTAGTAGTTGTCAGTTCCTCAGAAGTTGAGAGAATTCAGCCCCAGGAACATCACAGGCATGAAGACAAGTGTCCTCGACCCGTGGGCTGCCGTTACCCAGCCTCTGGCTCAGCAGAGAGAACAGAGTGTTGGCAGGGCTCAGGCACACAGCTGCCACTGTGCACTCCCAGGTGAGAAGCCAAGACCATGCTCAGGAGCTCCACAGGTGACCTGGGCAAGTTCCTTACACCCCCATGGCTCTCGCATCTCTCCTCGCTGGAGAAGTCAGGCCTCCCTTCACTCACCCTGGGCTCGCTTTTTTGGGTGAATTCTTCCTTCCTTATTGATTTATGGGAGTTCTTTGTGTATTCTGGGTGCACTTTAGACTTTGTAAGACTTTTCCCTCAGCCCGTCATTTTGATTTGTCCCAATCTGTCAATTCTGGCCAGAGCTCTGGTCGTGCACACCCCAGGCTGCAGAAATTCTGCTTTTTCTTCTGTCTGCTGTGTGGTCTCACTCTGCCTTTCAGGCCTTTAACCCAGTGAACTGCAAAGTCACCACTGACGGTGGCAGGAGGTAGGAACCAGCTTGCTTTCACTGTGTGGTGGGTCTGTCTGCCAGGCCACCTGTCGTTCCCTAACTAGAGTCCTGTCTGGCGCTGGTCAGGCCGTGTGTGTATGCAAACACCTGCATGAGTTCCACTCCAGCTGCCACTCCACTCCCAACGCCACACTGTCCTCTGGATACGTGCCAAACCTCATCCTCACTGCCCTTCTAGTCCTGAATACTTATTCTTGCACTTGAATTTTACAATCAGGCCCTTGAGCTGACATACACACACACACACACACACACACACACACACACATGCACACACTAATCTCTCTAGAATTTTTATTGAAATTTAAGAAGATCTAAATGCTAATGTGGGGGTTATACATCCAACACACGGACGCTTCTCCACTCACGTGCTTCTCCTGTATTTTGGAAAGCATTTGAAGCCTCTGCTGGGAAGCCTATGGGTCAGGGTGCTCTCTACCTGGGCACAGCAGCCTGCTTGGGGAGGCAAGGCGTCTGGGCTCTGCAGTGAGGGGGTGCCACAAGTCACAGTTCAGTCCAGCCAGAGGTTTGGCTCCCCTCCACAGGAGGTGTGGCCTGTCACTGTGCTTGTCCCCTCATGGGAAAGAGGCTTCTTAACCCTGGTGGACCAGTGTTGCTGGGAGAAAGGACCTCAAGCCAGAGAACGACACAGTGGGCTGGAGGCCGGACGCTCAGCTCTGGGCGCAGAGCTGCAGGTGTGGGGCACTGGCTCCGCCCAGGCTGCGAGGTCTGTCTCTGCTTCTCTGCTCTGCTGGGACCCTTCTTCCTTGTGCAGTGGGAGCGTAACCCCACCTCTGGCTCCATCGTCACGTCGTCACGTGATGTGCGCCCTGCGTGTGTCTGTGAGCAGACTTCCCCTTTTCACAAGGACACCAGTCATGCTGGACAGGGGCCTTCCCTAGTGACCTCACCTTCTCTGATACATCTGCAACCACCCTATTTCCAAGTGAGGTCACCCTCTAAGGTGCTGGGGTCAGGACTTCAGCACAGGGCTTGGTTTTTTTATTTTTTTAAGAGAGAGAGATAATTTTTTAATATTTATTCTTTAATTTTTGGTGGACACAACATCTTTATTTCATTTTTATGTGGTGCTGAGGATCGAACCCAGAGCCCCTCGCATGCGAGGCGAGCTTGCTACTGCTTGAGCCACATCCCCAGCCCCAAGGGCTTTGTTTTTTCTATATTTTTGATCAGTGCATTATAGTTGTAAGGAGGGGTGCATTTGCTGTTACATATTGGTACATGTACACAATCCATCAATACAATTTAGCCAGCGTCCCTCCCCAGCATGTCCTCCCTCCCTCTAGACCTCTCTCCCCTGGGCCCTTCCTCTGCTGTACTAACCTTCCTTTGGTTTTCATGAGATCTGCCCCCCTCTTCCTTTTCATTTTTCCTCTCTAGCTTCCACATATGAGAGAAACACTCGGGCCTTGACCTTCTGAGTTTGGCTTATTTCACTGAACACAATACTTTCAAGTTCCATCCATTTCCATACAAATGGCATAATTTCTTTTATGACTAAAACTCCATTGTGTATATATATACCTCTTTTCTTTATCCACCCGTCCATCGAGGGACACCTAGGCTGGCTCCGTCGTCTGGCGGCTGTGAATGGTGCTGCTATAAACGTGGTGTGTGTATGTCACTGTAGTAAGATGACTCTAACTCCTCAGGGTCAATACCGAGGAGTGGGACAGCTGGGTCACATGGAGGTTCCCTGCCTGGTCTTTTGAGGAGCCTCCCTACTGATTTCCACGGGGGTCGTGCTAATTCACAGTCCCACCAACAGTGTAAAGGGTTCCTCTCCCCGCATCCTCCAGCACGTGTTGTTCACACCCTGATGGCTGCCCTCCTGACGGGTGTGGGACACAGCTCAGTGTGGTTGTGAGTTGCATTTCCCTAATTGTTAATGATGTTGAACATTTTCCATGATTTGTTGCCCATTTGAACTACTACTTTTGAGAAGTGTCTGTTTAGCTCATTTGTCAATTTATTAATTGGGTTACGTGGTGCCAAATTTTTGAGTTCTTTTTAATATTCTAGATATCAGTATCTGTCAGAAGAGTAGCTGGCAAAGATTTTATCCCATTCTACGGGCTCTCTCTTCACATTCCTAATTGTTTCCTTTGCTGTGCAGAAGCTATTTAATTTGATGCCATCCCATTAATTAACTCCTGAGTTTTAGGGGTCCTGTTGAGAACGTTGTTGTCTGGGCTTAAAGGCTAGAGTGTTGACCCTATGTTTTCTTCTAGGAGTTGCATAGTTTCTGGCCTAATTTGGAGGTCTTTTGATCCACTTTGGGTTGATTTTTGTGCAGGGGGATAATCAGTCTTCCCAGCACCCTTTATTGAAAAGGCTGTCTCTTCTCCAATGTATGCTTTGGGTACCTTTGTAGAAAATCAGATGGCTGCAGTAGTATGGATTTGTCTGTCTTCTATTCTGTTCCATTGGTCTACGCCAGCACAGGACTTTGTGGGACGTTCACTCAGAGCAGAGAATGTGCCCCTGTCTCCTGGGAAGAGTGGGCAGAACAAACCCCAGCATTCTTCCTCACGCCCTGTGCCAAGAGCCACAGCACACACAGTGTCCACTCCAACCACTGGCAAGGGAAGGCCTGTGACTGCAACAACCAGAACCCCCACCCTGGGACAGAGTTGGGGGCCCAGTTCCTCTAAAGCAGCATCTCCAGAAAGCCAGGACTGAATGCATCTTCACAGCACAGTACGAATGGCATCTTGAATAGAGTCTTGTTTCTGTTGTGTTTTTGTTTATTGCAAATATAGAGAAATGCTATATTGACTCAGAATCACTTTCAAAAATCAAAAGAAACAGCCAAGCATGGTGCACAAGCCTGTAATTCCGTGCCCCACCCCCCAAAAAAAATCAATAGAAGCACTTTGTTTGTCTTGATTGTGTTGTATTTGACAGTTTTGCTGAGCTCCTGTCCTCGTTCCCACATCTGACCAATTCATCTGGGGCTCCTGTGTGACTGTCGTAGCAGCAGCAAATTCGGTAGCTCTGGCTCTCCATTCCAGTCCCAGGCTCTGGCTGCTCATCCCCAGCCAGGCCATCAGAACCAGGTTGACAGTGGCACAGTAGGTCCTGGCTGGCTCAGGGTTGTTAGCACCAGAAGACTGGGCAACCTTCACAGATCAGCCAAAAACCTTTATTCAGGAATGGAGTCATGGTTCTAATGGACCCACACTCCTGGTGGAGAATGAGCCTCTGAACAAAGCGGGGACTGGGCTCATACGGGTCACGGGTGATTTATTCAGCGGGTCAGTCTGGGCACTGGGAATTTGGGTTTGGGGTTTGGGGGTCGGCGGCCAGCACCTGGAGAGGAGTTATCTTGGAAGAGATGAGTGTTTCTAGAGACTGTCACTCTAGGTTTGAAGGAACACTTCTCCCTGCCTGCGGCCAGCGTCTGGGAAGGACGGCTCTTAGAAGAGACAAAAGTTATCAATGTATGCCTTTCTTTTTCACTTCCTTCTCCCAGGCCTCACTATTTTGGGTTTTTTTCATTTTCCGTATCTGATAAGTGTGGCAGGGGGCACGTGACCCCAGGTGAAAATGCCCCCCAGGCCACTGGTACCTGGAGTTCTCTCAGTAGATGTAGTGGTGGTGATTTATCCTAGCGCCCACATGGACTCTACTGGACTGTGCTGAGTTGTTCTAAATTAACTGTGATGTTAAAAGGACATTGACTGAGAAGTTTCACATCTATTTCCATAAGTACTGGTTCTTTTATTTCCTACTACTGTACTTTTCTGGTTCTGGAATCAAGAATTGACTCATGAAGTGTCTCTTCCGTTTTTTGTTCTTGTTAAAGTTGCTCTACTATATTTTATTACTGAATTACACCCAGGGCCTCATGCATACTCAGCAAGTGCTCCACCACTGAGCTACATTCCCAGTCCCCCTTTAGTTTGAGGCAGGGTCTCGCTAAGTTGTTGAGGCTGGCCTCAAACTTGTGACCCTCCTGCCTCAGCCTTCTGAGTCCCTGGGATTATAGGTGTGCACCATCACACGCAGCCAATTCCTCTATTTTTTGAAACTTCTTGAATGAAAAATCATCTTAAAATATGGAAGTCATCTATTCCAGGATGCTTTTAGTGTACTTTTAAAATTGGTTCAGAGCTAGAGATCCCTAAATGACATTGGCCTAACCCTGTTCTCTGTCGCTGCTGCTTTCCTAATGCTCAGAGCTGCTGGGCGCGCCTTTTCACGTGCCCTCTGCTGTCTCGCATTCCGGCTGCGGCTGCCATCATGCTTCTTTTTAAACTGTCTGGATTTATTTTTTCTTACTGTTGGTCATTTGTGGAGGTCTGTCGGGAGAACCTGCTTTGGGCTGCCCATTGTCCCGTGTCTCTGGGGCTCCTGGGGCTGGGGCTCCTGGGGCTGGGGCTGGGGCTCCTGGGGCTGGGGCTCCTGGGGCTGGGGCTGGGCTGCCCATTGTCCCATGTCTCTGGGGCTCCTGGGGCTCCTGGGGCTGGGGCTCCTGGGGCTGCTGGGGCTGGGCTGCCCATTGTCCTGTGTCTCTGGGGCTCCTGGGGCTGGGGCTCTTGGGGCTGGGGCTGGTCCAGCCTCACTGCATCAGACCTTCCTTCCTGGGTCCTTCTGTCTCTAGTGCCCTGAGTGAAGGCTTGGCTCAATTGCTCTCACCCTCCTGGATTTTTGATAAATCCATTCAGAGACCTGGATTTCTCTTCACTTGCTACCTTGGGCAGGACCCACAAATGGCCTATGTTTTACTTCTTGTCATTAGTTCGAAGTATCTCATAATTTTCCTATTATTTGATCCAAGTTGTTCCCTGATGCTCATTCCTTTATGACAACAGAAGTCATGTGACCACCAGAAAAAAACAAGGTCACCCACAGCCACCTGCCAGAATGCTCTGAACCACACAGGTCACTGCAGGCTCTGAAGGAGTGGACCCAAGCAATAGAGCTCCCAGGGATCCCGACAACCAGCCACGCCTCAGGAAAGGCAGTGTAACCTGGAAGATGTACAGGTGGGGAATGCAGTTCACTGTCGATGAATGGAGTTCAGAAGGATCGAGAGAGGGAGATAGAGAAGATTCATGCACAGGTGAATTTCTGCACAGATGAACTGAAACAAGAAAACAGAAAAAATCATGTCAGGAATTCAGGACACTTGTCAGAAGTAAAAGCAGTCTTTCATCTGCAGTTGGAGAGGAGGGACATGTCCAGCACTGGCTCTGGGAAGCATCCTAAATGAAATTACTGGACTTCCAGGTAAAGGCAGGAATTTGGGCAGATAAGAAAAACAGAGGTCAAGTTGCGTGTAAGGTCAAAAGTGAGTCTTTCCTCAGATTTCCCCATGGAAACCCCTGAAGCCAAAGAGGGTGAGAGGAGACCCCTCCCACTAGGCCCATGCAGGGCAGGCTGCAGCCTCGGAGGGAACCTGCCAGGAGTTAGAGCTGTGGAGTCTGAGCCTCCTAAAGGAGGCAGCTGGCACAAATGCCAGCAAGGGAAGAGGTGATGGAAAAGCCATTCAAAGCAAAGGCAGGACCAAGGGTGAATTTACAACTGGAAAGAGAACTGAGCAAGTGTGGATATCAGGGAACATAACACTGCAGGAAAAGTAAAACCCGACGGGACGCAGGGTGGGCGAGACTCACGACCGGGAGCCAGGAGCTGGAGGAAGAGGCACGCAGCTGCCTAGGTGCGGAAGAGTCTCGCTGTTCACAGAGAGCTCCACACTGAGGAGGCCTTTGCATGGAGAGGAAGGGAACAGACCAGCACTGCAGACCCTGGAGGAAGAGCGTCCCCCTGGGCAGGGCGGCAAGTGTGGCTCCAGGTGGCATGTGGGCCCCTGTGATGTGCTGCAGGGACGCAGGGAGGCCCTGGGGCTGCAGCAGAGGCTGGACAGGAAGGGATTGCAGCAGGCACAGGTAGGGCTGGGTCAAGCTGTCCAGGGTGGAGGCAACTCCCTTGGGCCAGGCCCAGACCCTCCAGTGGTCAGAGCAGGTGGGGGACATTCTGACCATGCCAGAGACCAGAAGGGGCAGACAGGGAGGGGGACTCTGGAGCCCCTTCCTCAGTCACAACTGTGCCTGTGCTTAGGGGGAGCCAAACTGAGGGTTGGGCTGGGCAAAGGCCTTCTCTGGCCAAAGACAGGGCCCTGCAGTCCAGGACAGACTGACTGTCCTGCCTTGCCTTCTGCAGAGACCTGGGCACCTCTTTGAGCCACCTGCAGGTGCTATGGCTAGCTCGCTGTGGCCTGACAGACCTGGATGGCATTGGCTCCTTCCCTGTGCTAAAGGTGGGTCTGCAGCATCTGGGGTAGGGTTGGGCCCGAGTCAGACCCAGCTGAAGTCCCCACACCAACCCAGGAACTCTACGTCTCCTACAATGACATCTCGGACCTGAGCCCGCTGTGCCTGCTGGAGCAGCTGGAGGTGCTGGACCTGGAAGGCAACAGCGTGGAGGACCTGGGGCAGGTGTGCAGCCTGCGGCTGTGCCCGCAGCTCACCACACTCACCCTGGAGGGCAACCCGGTGTGCCTGCAGCCAGCCCCCGGACACTCCAACAAGGTGCGCGTGCTGGGAGGGGCCCAAGGGCCTCTGTGTCCACTGCATGCCAGGGCTTCTTTACCATGAGCTCCACCTTTTCTATCACTGGAGGCCTGAGTGCGGCCAGGCTACCTCCTGAGCCATTCCACCAGACCCCACGAGGATCACACGTGCATGTGCCGTGCCACCCAACCCATGCCCACAGCCTGGGGGGTACGTACACAGGTCACAAGGAGCCACCCAGACCACACCAGGAGGGCGTGCACTCACATAAGGGGCCTGTGTGTGCTCTGCGTGAGACTGCCACATACACACCACAGGCCTGGGGAGCACTGGACCCTCAGGCCCTGACCCCACGCTGCCCATCCCAACAACTGCCACTTGGTGGTGCTACTTGCTGGGACCAGAATCCAGCCAGTGCACAGTGGCTGCTCAACTGAATCAGAAACCTGAGCCCAGGGCAGCTTGGTGGGCCAGAAAGCATTGCTGGACTCTGGCATGGGTCTGGAGAGTGAAGTCACATCCTGGATAGGCGAGAGCTCAGTTGCTGTTGTCCCTAGGGTCCAGCAGGGTCACCCTGACCCCTCTGTCCTGCCCCACAGGGATCTGGGGCTCTAGGACCCCACGCCTGAGGTCCCCTCCCTCTATACTGTAGGTACCCCAGGATTACAACTACAGGGTGGAGGTGAGGAAGCTCATCCCCCAGCTACAAGTGCTAGATGAGGTGTCCACCAGGCACACTGAGCTGCCTGCCCCCCGGGAACTGAGCCAGGACTGGCTCATAGTGAAGGAGGCCATCAAGGAAGGCCGAGTGCTGGACACTTTCCTCCCCCCACAAGGTAGAGCACATACCCCCTGGAATCCTTGCCCTGTGCCGCAGTACCCCACTCCAGGAGAGGCCTCCCCTAGACCCCAGGCCTCTCGGAGGTGGATAGCTGCACCTTGTGCCCTCCCCCCGCCTTAACCCCTGGCCCCCAGAACACGCACATGGGCCTCCAGGCCAGGATGCTGTCCCTTTGGTCAAGACCAGTGGGCCTCTCTATTTATCAGAGAGGGAGGAGGGTCTGAGTTTGAAGGAAGGGACCATCAGAGGCCAGCCTTCGGGCTCACAGATTCTTAGGGGTGAGAGCTGTGTTCTGTGGGCTGGGGCTGGCCAGCTGGCATGGCCCTAGTGACCGCTGTTTCTGACCTTGGGCAGATGTTTCCCATGGAGCCATTATCCGGAGACTTGATCCAGCATTCTCCCTACCTGAGACCCAGCCCTGGGCCCTGTCCCTGCTGGTCCCTGGGGGCGTCCTGCCTGAACGCCTGCTTCCCAAGGACATGGCCCCAGAAGACCACACCAGCAACCTCACTCATGGTAACTGACCCACCTTGGCCTGACCCCACATCCCCCTGACCCCAAAGCAGACCCATCACATGCCCCCTCCTCCAGGTGCTGGCCAAGTCCTCTGCGGGAACCCCACCAAAGGCCTGTGGGAACGCAGGCGTCAGAACCAGGTACACCTTCCACCCTTCAAAGTGGGTGGGGACCGTCCCGCCATGTACCAGCATCCAGAGTCCCTCCCCCACACAATGGACCATGACACAGAGCCCCTCCTGCACTAGGCACCAGGGTCCAGGGCTCCTGGTGTGTAATACCCCTGGCTGCCAGTCCCAGGCCAGGGTTCCCAAACCAGCTCTTTTCTTCCTCAGGACTGGGCACCCTGGGAACAGCTACCTCCATACAAGTCAAGTCTGGCCACCAGCCCCTCCACCCCAGGGCCTGGCCCTGCAGACACCTGTGACCTCCTAACCATGGCGGGGCTTCAGGCCTGGAGGGAGCTTGGCCTGTGGTAGGTGCTCCTTCCCTGCCCAGTCCTCTCAACTGGGCACCCTTTCTGTTGTGGGGCTGGGGCTGGGGCTGGGGCTTGGGCTGAACCCCAGATGATCTGAGTTGGTCACAGAACCCTGAGGCTGCTAGACCATCTCAGTCCCACACCCTCTGGAATTGGGCCCAAGAGGGGCTGTAGCTTCCCTCTCTCCCTCCCTCAGTCCCCAGCCCCACAGGCAGATGGAGTCCCAGCAGGAAGGGGCTGCAGCCCCCCAGGACCCATGGAGGGCCCCTGAAGAGCAAGAGGACCAGATTGGACCCAAGACTGTCCCTAGTCCCATGAGCCTGGCCTCAGGTACTTTCCCCACAGGTGGGTGATCCACTTGTCAGGTGCTGCCCACCTGGGGACAGGAGCCCCAAACCTCAAGATCAGCCTGTGTAGGTATGGCCCATTCCTCAGCTGGGCTCTGGGAGGCCACTGGACCTCAAGGCTGCCTGGGCTGGATGAGAGAAAGTCCTTCCATAAGGGGTGTGGACCAAGTCCAAAGGAGTCTGCACCAAAGAACGAGGCATACCAGGTAGGGACACAGATGAGCCAGGGCCATCTACAAGCAGATGTACCACTGGACATGCCCAGTTCTTATGGGCGTGAACAAAAGGCCAGGAGTGGGAGAGAGGCCCCCAGGCCCCCTGGGAGACCAAGGCAGGGAAGGACCCCCACCTCACCCCAGACAGGACCCATGCTGGGCTGAGGCCTATCCGAGTCAAGCCAGGCAGTGCTCTGGCAGAGGGACCCTGGATTCAGAGTGCCCAAGACCAAAGCAGAAAGGCCCTAAACCCAGATCAGCAGGCAGACCTAAGGAGGGACAGGCAGGGGCAACAGAAGCAGAGACTTAAAGGTCAGCAGAGCAACTCTCAGGGTAGGGGACAGGCTGCCCTCCATGGGCAGGGGTTGATACCCAGGCAGGGTGCCTGAGATAGCCAGGAGGGAACCACAGCTGACCACCCAGTGGACAAGGACTGCAGGGCTTTAAGGAAGGCAAGCAGGGTGGCCAGAAGGAAGGGTAGCTGGAGTATGAAGTAGGGGCAATATGGGACAGTGCCAGGTCCAGGTGGGCACTGGGTGACCCTTGACTCCTGCCTCACGCTACCACAGAAGATTAGGAACTGGCCTGAGGTCATTAGCCTGTGAGCCGAGCCTCAGGAATTAGACCCAGATGACCCAAAGCCAGAGTTGTGGCCTCTTTGCCTGCCTTAGAGGGCTGGTCTAAGCAAGATGGCTGGGGGACAGAGCTTCCCTGAGGAGCACAGGAAATGCGGCAGAAGGGGTGGCATGGGAGGCAGGCCTCCCCGCAGGCCCCACCTCCCTACCTGGACTGCAGGACCAGACAGGTTAGCCTACTTGTCCGACAGGGCCTCGCTGACGGGCCTTGTTTCTTGCTTTCTAGAGCATTCCAGAACCGTGGGCTTTCACCTGATCCCTTCTGCTCCCAAGTGCCCAATGCCACCTGACTCTGGAAGCAGCTCCCCCAGGGGGTCTGCAGTCCTGTCTTTCAGAGGGCGAAGGCTCAGAGCACTGGACAGCCTGTGTGGGAGCCCTGGAGGTAACCTCAGGCCTCAGTGCTTGAGCCCAGGGGTACCCAGACCCAAAGCCAACAGGAGACCCTGCAGCCAGACATCCAGGCCTCTGCTACCTGCTCCACCTGAACCCTATCACCCCCACCCACTCCCTCCCTTAGTGTAAGCCCCCACCAACTGCCAGGTTCACCTGGACTGGGGCCAAGGGGTGCCAGTGAGGTCATGGGAGCCCCAGGAGTTCTCTGTCTTCATAGACCCTGGAGCATCTAGGCAGGTGTGGGGATGGAGAGTGGGTTTGGCCCTGAAAAGGCCCCTTTTGGTGCAGAGGAACCTGAAGTTGGGACCAGTCAGCAGGTATCAGAGGCCAGAACAGACGTTAGGTCCAGGTAGGGAGAGCCCAAGCTCCCCATCACTGCTCAGCTGCCCACCCTTCCGTGGGGCCTAGCCTTCCCAGGAGAAATGGTCAAAGGGGCAGGCCGGGCTAGGCGGCAGGACCTGGAGCTGGGCTCTCCAGGAGCCTCGGGGCTGCGAACCACTCTCTGCACTGATGCAGCCCAGGGTCCTACCTGCTTGCCCTCTGCTGCCATGGGCAAAGCCAGGCCTCCCATCCCTGGTGGATTTGTGGGGTTTCCCTTGAGAAGCTGGGATGTGCAGGTCCCGCCCAAAAAACAGGAGAATCTTTTTCGACTTTCAGGTTTACAGAAATGCAGTTTACTTTGTAGGCAACATTGGTTCAATAAATTATGCAGCTGGCACTGCTGCCTGGCCCTGCCGCCTTACACCCGTTGGCATGTGTCCACAGTGATGGGGGGACAGCTGAGGAAACGGAAGCCATATCTACTCTCAGCTGTGCTCTGCACTGAGAGGGTCACCATGGGGCAGCTTCGGTCCACATTTTTCCGGCACACCTGGGGAGCATCAGGGCCTGAAAGCTGTGGGTGTAGGTGTGGGTGGGGAGGGATAGCTGGCATGCCAGTGGGAACCAGTGTCTGCCAGGGACAGCAGGGCACGCACTCACCCGGACCTTGCACTCCTTCCTGGTGGGGCAGTCCTGGGTACACAGCCCAGCCTCTGTTTGGGACAATGGCTATGGGGTCAGCCCAGCCCACTTGCTGCCCACTCACCCCTCCCTCTGGGCTTGCTCACCAGGGATGATGGGAGGCAGGAGCTCCAGAGTCTTAGACTGGTTGTCCTCCGGCAGGTGGAAAGGCCGACAGGTGCTTAGGAGTGGCAAGATATCCCGCATCCTGGGAGGCAAGGGGGTGTGAGGCCACAGCCTGGCAGGAAGAGGCTCATTAAAGGGATTCCAAACCTGGGGAGGTACAGGGGCTAGCAGGGGCCTGCAGGGGTCCTGGTAACTCCTGGGTGGGGGCTGGCGAGGTAGGTGTTGATAATGGAGAGTGCTAGCCCAGGAAGTGGTTCTGGTGGAGGCCAGGCCTAGAAGGCAGAAGGTGGGGTGGGGGTCTCCTGAAGGGGGTCGCGATGGGTTTTGCTGGGACAGGATGGAGGGACTCGCGGTGCCCACCCAGGCCTCTGCCGCCGCCTCCGGGCGCCGGTCTCCCGCACCCGGCTTTTCCCCGGGGGTCGGGGCCGGCTCCGGGGTCCGCTTGTGTCGGTGCCAGGCCGGGCCTTCGAGAGTGGGAAGCGGTCAATGGACCAGTCAGTGTTGTCAGTGAAGATCCTTGAGCCTGAAGTCACACGGTGTGGAGTCTGGTGCTCACCCAGGACCTACGGGGCCAGCAGGGGCAGCTCTGTTACCCTCACCCGCCAGGGCCCACCCGAGCCCCTCCTGGGCCTGGGCCGGCACTAACCTGGCCCTCGGGATTCAGGAGGAGCGTCAAGCAGCCCAGGCTGGGGTGGAACAGGCCAGCGTCCTGGCCCAAGGACAAGGGCGCCTGCTTCTTGGTGCTGCTGGTCCCCTGGCCCCACACCTGGGAGCGGCAGAGGGCACTGGTTGAGGGGCGCCGCAGGCAATAACGGGGTCATGTGGGCTCACGGACAGAAGGGCCCACCGTGATGTGGTGCTGCGGCGCCAGCAGAGTGCCCGGCGGGAAGCGGTACAGGCACACCGGGAAGCCGCGCTCAAGCTGCTGTAGCAAGAAGCCGTCCAGGTCGACTGTCTGTTCCAGCGACTCATTAAGGATGCGGACGAACTTCTCTCGTCGGCTGACTGCCACGATCTTCAGGCAGCAGCCAGTGGGGCTGGGGCGCGGAGGGGGTGCAGGGCAGGGCCTGATGAACAGGCTCCGCCCACCTGGACAGCTGCCCAGAAGTCCTGTCTGGGCGTCCCCCTCACCTCAGCTGGTGACTGACACGCCGGTGGTCAGGGGCTGTGCAGGGATCCTCGGGAGTCTTGCTGAGCGGTTGTGAGTGGGTTTTCAGGAGATCTAGGGAAAGGAGCCCTTTGGGGGAGGGAAGCCCTCACACGGATGGTCCAATGGGGAATGTGAGGCCAGAGCAGGCCTACAGCAGGTGGGGTCCCAGAGGGAAGGGAGCAGCGCCAGAGGTCAGATCCCTGGCAGGGGAGGTGGCTGGACCCTAGGGACTAAAGGACCTGGTTTAGGGATCTGGAGGAAGATGGGAGAGGGATATAGGAGGATGAGAAAGAGATGCACCCCACTCCACCTTCCGAATCTCCGCCAAAGCTCCAAGCCATTGTGGGGATCTGCTCTGAAGATGCCAAATCTTCTGTCTGGGGCGGGTACCCTGATGCCTTCTGCACTCCAGAACGCACGACCGGCTGGCAGCTGCTAGAGTCAGAGCCAGCACCTCCGGAGCTGCTGGTGGCCATGCAGGGCAGGGAGCTCCACTCCAGGGTCTTGGGATGTTTCTCCATGTGCTCAGAGGAATCCGAGCCGCCTTTTTCCAGTGACAGGGACTGCTGGGGCTGCCTGAGGCCATGCTCTGGTCAGTGGATGCTCTGGCTTCCAGGCAGCGGCTCTACCCTTTTCCGGCCTCCCAAAGCAGCAGGCAATTCAGCTTGTGCTCTGGGTGCCCAGGACCCAGATCCAGCTCATGACAGGCAGTGATGACCCAGGAGCCCCTTCCCTTCATCCCTAGTTAACTCTAAGATCAGAGCTGAGGCTTGGAGGGATTACATGATTTGTCTGGGGACACCAAAGGACAGAACACGTACTTGGTCCATTTCTGCCAAGACAACCCCCCATTTCCCCTGGCCCCTGGGGAGTTGGGCCCAGTGCAGTTACTTCTGCTTTGTGCTGGAATCACTGAAGAGATTGGGGTACCGGAGGGCGATGCTGTTCCAGTCCATATCCTCCAACCGGAAACCCTGGTCAGAAAGTAAAAGCTTGAGGCTCTCCCCTCCTGCTGGGCTCCAGAATCCTGGTCAGGCATGTGGAGTCTTCACATTGGGGGGGGGGGGGTCTTGCTCACCTCTCCAGCAGTGGGAGCCTCATTCTCAGAGAAGTCACTGGAATCCCTTAAAGTCTCTGCAGTAACCACCTGCAGGAAGGGACCACAGAGACTGAGGATTAGCTAAGTGGTAAAGCACTTGCCTAGAATGCACCAAGATCTGGATTCAATTCCCAGCACCCATCCCCCAAATGAAATGAGGAGCTGGGGGAAATCACCCCTTCCAGACAGTATTCCTCCCTCTTTGACCTCACCAGGGCAGGTTTGGTGGAAAAAACTGCAAGCCACAAGATTCTTCCCTGCAGAAGTAGCCTGAAAGGGGCAGGCTTTCAAGGCAAGCCAGAAGCACCAGCAGAGGCACCTGCCTGAAAGAGCCATACTGGCCACCCTAGGAAGTTCCAGGGACGGCTTGTGGGCCTTGGGCACTGGCTCACCTCCACACTGCCAGTTTGGGACCGGAGTACACGACCCACCCAGGAGGAGCAGGCCAACTGCAGGAGGCAGGACTTCTGGAAGGCCTGCAGCTGGGCTTCTAGTTGCTGCAGCATGCTGACAGTCTGCATCAGCTGCTCCTCTAAGTGCTCCTTCTCCTGCTCAGGAGCCACCAGGTTAGGGGCCTCTTGCAGCCCCGCCCCCCAGACCATGCCCTGCCTACTTCCTGACCCCACCCCCTCACCAGCTGGGCCTGTTCCTTCTGTGCTTTCAGCTCCTGGGTCAGCTTCTCCACCTGTTCCTGTAGAAACTTGTCTGGACTGTGGAAGCTCCTGGAGGAGGGGCAACTTCAGTAGCCCCACCTCTGGGTCAGCTGGGGTGAGGTCAGGTGAGCAGCAAATTAGGGGTCCCACTGCCATCATACCGAGGGCACACAGTGCAGCCAGCCAGAGCAGGGTAGGTAAGTCCTGACCCATCTGGACAGGGGTCAATGGCTCAAGATTAGGGTTGTTAAGTTTATAGGACAGTAACATTCAGGGTTTGGGTGGAGCATTAGCTAGGTAACGACTAGGGCCAGAGGCAAAAGTCCAGGTAAGAGTCGAAGTAGTGGTTGGAATCGGTGTAGGACAGAAACCAGGAGTTAGGACAGGACAGAGGTTGGGTTGGGCTGGTGGCTTTGCTGCTGACCTCTCAGATGGAAGTCCTGACACCTCCTGCAGGATGTGACAGTGCCGGGCATGTGGCCCATTTCGGATGGCCCACCGAAGCGCTTGGATCTCTAGTTCTCGCTGCCCCCACAGCAGCCGCAAGGTGCGGGGGTCCAGTGCTTCGGGGGCTAACCTGTAGTGCCAGTACCCCTGTTGATCAGGCCTGGCCCTCTCGTTGTTCCTGCCCAGAAAACTGGCCATCCCTCCCTTCCTCCTTACTGCAGATGGACAGAGGCCAACCGTGTGGAGTGGGTCTTGGTGTTCTGGGGGCCTGGGGGAACCACTGTGTCTGTAGGTGTGCCAGTTGGAAGCCCCAAATCACCGCTGACTGGCTCTCCATCTGCTGGGGTTCGTGGCTCCTGCTTTTCTTCAGATTGCTGGCCAGACTCCGGGGCCATTCTTGATGTTTCTCAGGAGCTGGGAGAGGTAGTAGGGCTGAGTGTGGCTTGTGTCCACCCTATAGGGCTCTAGCAGCACTGCTGGTTCATAGATGTTCACACTCTGAGGAGGCTATGTGTGTCTACCCCACAGAATGAGGAACTGCTAGTCGTGTGGGTATCCTCATATGTGTTTCAGGCCAGGGAGCAGGTCACCCCCCAGACAACCTGTTTCCACATTCCCTGTTCCTCCTGTTTCCCTTGCCTAGAGCAAGAGTCAAAGGTTCTGGTCCTTTGCCTGTGACCCTCAGTTGTGTCCCCAACCATGAGCCTCGTGCCCAGCACTCACCTGAGGCCTGGGCTCCTAGCAGGCCTGGGGAGAGAGGATTCTCTACTGTTGCCATGGATACTGGCACTCAGAAGGGAGGGGCTGTTACCAGGAACCTCCAGGGAGAGCCAGGTCTAAGGCCTCCATTGAGTTCTGGACTGGTCAACCTGGGGAATGTGAGAGGCTAAGCTGGGTAGGCCTGGGGGACCACGTAGGGCCCCCGCAGCCCCTCTCTAGCTGGTGGTGACTAGTGGGGACTCTGGTGCCCTGGGGGGAGGCCAGTTTGGGTGTGATATATCCCGAGAGCACTGACTGGGAGGTGAAGGAATTGGGGATGGGGGATGAAAAGCCAGAGGAGGGGCTGTGACAGAACTCTAGCCTGCAGAGGTACACCCTCCCTCCAGCCTCAGTGGCTGACACTTCCCTAACTCCCAAGCTGGAAGCCTCAGCTTCACAAGCATCTACACACAGACACACACACACACACACACAGATGGTCCCGCAGGACAAGTCAGGCCCAGAGGTGGGGCACCTATCACTAGTACCTTCAACCTTCCCTCCGG